CATGGCACTCGGAGACTGGCCTTATAAAGGAATTTTGAAAAAGGACCATCTTTCTACAGACAAAAGTAGAAATAGCAGTAAAACTCGTGAACCAAATAAAAAACAGTTTCTGGATCTCACTTCTACATGGAGGAGAATAAAGGAGTTTTACTAAAGAAAATCTACAACAGTTTGAAAACCCACAACTAAAACCTAAGATCTGTTTGCACCTACGCCAAAAACCTTAGAGCCAATCTCTTACACTTCTGCCAAGGTGGTTGCTGTGAAGTCAAACTATTAGACGCCAAAACAAGGGTTCGTTTTGGTTTTAATTTTTTGCAAGCCAAAGAATGCCCAAGGCAACAGAAGAATTGCTTGGAAGACAAGAAAATATGCTTCCCTGCTACTGTTATTTGAAAAGGATGAATCCTCCAAAAAAAGGTACCCTTTGAATGCAAAGCATATTAATTCCAGCGTTACCCAACAGACTAGATGCCCAGAAGAGAGAGCCATCAATAGTATCTGGAGGTGAGGTCTCTCTAAACCAAGCAAGCAATGTAACACTAGACAATTTCCTCAAGAAGAAATACAACTATTAACTCTCCTGGAATTTTGTGTTTCAGAGGCAAGTTGGCACTTGGCCTCAGACGATTCTAAAGGGCTCCTGTTTTTCATGAAAACTTACAGAGCGGGCAAGTGACTTCCATGAAAAGAGCATTAAAAAACGAACTTCCTACAGGTTTTTGCTTTAAAAAAAGCCCAAACCCAAATTCCTGAACTGTAAGCCATTTCACCATATAAAGAATCCTTCAGAAAGAAGAATTCTTTTACAACAACGCATTCAAGACTCCAAGCAACTTAATAAAGAGCTGAAACTCACACCTGCCCCCCTAATGAACATCAAGATGCACAAATGGTTAAACTCTCTCACAAGTTTTTCACTGTGTTCCACTCCCTTTACTAAGAACTGTTACTGCCCTTCCAAAAGCAGACGTGGACTGCAGTGTCCAAGGAGACAGCTTTATTCTTTCAAAAGTTGTAATGGATTTGTCATACCTTTCAGATGGTTTTACTTGCTGTTCTGCAGGAACACTCTCCTCTTCCACGCACTGCAAGTTAAATTTGATTTATTTCAAGATTTATCTGAATGTATTTATACACTATACACAAAGCAAAGACAAACAACCTCTCATCTTTTGTGTTGGGTTTTTCTATTTATACCACTAAATATACCCTGTCTACTTAAGCTTGTTCCCTAACCACTATGACTACCCACTTTCACCTCGAGCCTAAAAAGCCCATGGATTTAACACCTGGTCATTTTTACATTGACTGATACTGGAGCCATGGGCGGGGTTTTTCGTGTGTTTGTTTGTTTGTTTCAGAAAGAGACGCCAATCTTGTTTTAAGCAAAGTTTACCAGGCATTTGTCTACACCAAAGTGATCAGAACGAGCAATTGAGTTTATTGTCAGAAACCTCACCCAGAGCCTGTAGCTCCCCTGAAAGTTTATACACACCTTCAGCACGTTTCACTAGCGACAGCTTTGTGTACAGGAGCACACGAAAAGGAAAATGTTGTTTCTGTATTTTAACATTCTTCCACTAAGAACAGTCCAACCCAACAGCACCATCATCATGTTCTGAGAATAACCACCAGCCACTTACTGTGCCAAAAATGCAATTAAATCCAGAAAACCTCGAAGTATCTCTCCCACAATGGTTACCAGCGTCTTAAATGTTTACCTCAAACATACTATCGATACTCTTTGCCAGAAAGAGCACCTCAGTAGAAGAACTGGTTAGAAATATTCCACACTTGGAAAAAGCAAGCGGATAAGGACCAGAACACTGACTTGTGTTTCACACCTACCCTCTGATGAATTTTTCTGGCATCAGAAGCTGGATTCAGAGATGGTTTAAAATTCTTCATCCGACTCACTAGGGAGATGGGCTGTGGTATCACGTGTTGCTGGACAGGTGGACGATATGATTCCATCTTTGGAAGAGAAGCAGCGATCAATTTATCCTTGCACAATCACTCAAATAACCGCAGCATTTACTGATGAAACAAGTTACAGAACTATAAACCTCCCGTCAGCCTCAGCACCCAGTGGAAATTATTTCGGAGTGTTGAAAGCATGTAGCTTGCAGAGGGAAATCACCAGCAAACCAGGTATGAAATCCAAAAAGCTAAAGTAGCCAAAATCTGACTGATTTTGGCACTGGCATTGCTCCATCACACGTGCAGAATCTGGCATTTATTCTTGTTCAGTTTCATGCCACTGATGATTGCCCAGTGATCCAATCTATTTAGCTCCTCTGCAAGACCACCTGTCCCTCGACAGAGGCAACAGCAGCTCCCAGTTCAGCATCATCTGAAAACATGCTGAGGGTGTGTTCCATTCCTGCCTCCAGGTAACTGATAAAAGCACCAAACAGAGTTCAGCCCTAGAACTGAGCCCTGAGGAACAGCGCTGGTGATCGGTCACCAGCCAGGCGTAGCCCCATTCATTACAACCCTTTGAGCCCTGCCCTTCAGCCCGTTCTCCGCCCAGCGCGCTGTCTACCTGCTCATCCCACAGCTGGATAACTTGTCCAGAAGGATGCTGTGAGTGACAGTGTCAAAAGCCTTACTAAATTCCAGAAAAACTACATCCACCACCTTATTGTAGAAGGGCATCAAATTAGTTAGACAGGAATGTTCAAATTAAAAAATACAAGTCCCCCAGTCAGATGTTTAATACACAAAGAGCTATGCTGCCTGGTGCAGATCCTTGAAATAAGAAAAATACCACAAAAAATAACTGCAGACGTTTTGCCCGAGTGCTCAAGTCTTCTGTCAACCACACATTGGCTTTAGCAGGAAAAAACACAACCCTCTCCTTGACACACACAACCCCCTCCTCCGCTTCTCACCGAGGGCTACCCTTCCCCTGCCAAACCTTCTGAACTCCAGTATTATGAACAGAACATTTCTCTACTTTTACCCAGTGACAGCTGTGTGCAACACTCGCTTCTGACCGATGTCAGGCCCTCTGCTGCTAATCTGGTAGATCTTTCTTAATGCCTCATCACAGGTGTAGCTCCACAATTCAACCAAGAATCCATGCCAGCTTTGTTTTCAATTATTTGGATAATACTTATGGAACATGCAATTTCTTTCCCACTTCTCAACATTCTTGTAATTTAGCACATGGTGAAAGATGGTACAGGAAATCCAAGACGTTTGTAAACTCTGAAGTGACTGCAAAATTAATTCTACTTCTAATCAAGGAATTACCCTAGAAACTTCTTGAGATATTCTGTCCATTTTTGCATCAAAACAGCAGATGAAAAGTTTGCATGGAAGAAAAATAACACTACCTTGTGTCTCCTACAAAGTTATTCTTAACTGACATATCAAGACACCACCACAGAAAGATCATGCAATTCTCAACCCGAGTAATCTTCCCAGTCCTTCATCTAGTGTGGGTGGAAAGACAGTTTTAGCGATGTTCACACATCCAAGATAACTATAATTCACGTAACGCTAATATTAACTTGAATTCACGTGTATGCTGTCATTGAGGTTTGAGACACCCCTCCTGACAGCTAGAAAGCACAGAAAGTTATCTCAGCCTAAGGTGTTACTGGTTCTTACCTGTTTTCCTCTGGATCGGAAGCTGGTAACATTCAGCAAACACTTGTTCTGAGGCTAAGGAATTAAAAAAAACCCAAAACATTAGAGGACGATTTTATTCGTAAGAGAGGGCTCCATCCAACAAACATGTAGGAGTTTTATGATCAACTTACAGTAGACAGTGGAGTGGAAACAGAAGACGGAATCCTTCTAGCATCC